ATATGAGGGAATAGGCTCGAGGGAACAGGTGGTGGGGCGGGAGAACTGGAGTAGAGTGGAGACCTCTTTTGCTGTGGCAGGTGTGAATGAGAGAGGATAATGTCAAATGGATAAGCATGGATAATTAATGGATAATTGATTGCATAACTTTACTGTGAGACTTTTGTAACAGGGATTTGCAAAGCTGCAGTCATAGACCCTTCTTCCCTATATACTGAAGAAAAAAAATATTTAGACTTTCTGTGTTATCCTTGATTAACCCACGCATGTCACTTCCCCCTTGGAACAACACTTTCACCTTTTTGGCATTAACATACTAAAAACAATGTTTTACACTTTTCTTATCTTTTATCATTTGACTGACCCTTATACTAAGCCACGTCAGTTTTAATTTGCTTCTTGAGAAATGCACTTTTTTAGAATTTGTTAAAAGCACTCTAACAAATATTTACGCTGCCATAATAAAAAAAATCAAAATGAACAAGAAATAAACAAAACAATATACACACTATAATTATCATGGTCTGTTTGCAAATTGCATAAATAAAAATATAATAGTTCAATTGGGTTAAAGTGGAAGCTTCCTACAAAGTATTTATAAAGAAAAACAGCCAGTATACTGAAAGTTTTACAAATAAGATCTTCATGGTGTAAATCTAAGGATTATATATAGGGTTCCCAAAAGTTAAAGAACTAGAGGCTTCAACACATTCTAGTTTATATACTCCCTTCCCTTCTCTTTGCTTTTAAAGCATTTGGAGGAGTTTTTAGTATCATTTTGTATAGCGACATAGGCATGCAATATCTCTTATATGTATTTTTTATACATTATCTGCTATTGTTTGCACTAACCTTTGCACTGCTTTACTTTCTGTACAATGGAATTTTTGAAACTCAATAAACACAGAATGTTTAAAAAGAAAACAAAAAAAAAACAACAACTTCATATAAAAATTACACTCCACTTGCTGCATTTGCTGGGTTGGAGAGCGGGAGAACGGCCTGTATGAAAGCTCCCCTGCTCTCTCCTGTCCCTCAGTTGTCACATAGAAGATAGCAGAGTCCTTCATGAAGAAAATGAATTGTTAGTGGTAGGAAGGACCTTATATTTTTTTAAGTTTTAATTTAAATCAGTACATTTGCCAGCACTTCTGCTTGTAAAATGTATAGGTGAGCTTAAATGTACTTTTATTTAAACTTGTGAGCACAGGTATACTCTAAGAGCCAGTACCCTACCTTAATAAATACACCAGACAGTTAAAATACTGAAATAGTATATATACTATTTGAAAAGGAAAAAAGGAATTAAAATGCGAACATGCCCTGGCACATGGAAAATATAAATGCACTACGCATTGCCAACGTGTGTGGAAGAAATGCTGTCACTTATTTTTAAGGCTCATAGCATGCAATAAAATGTCCAGCATAAATGGCAGCGGATCAAATATGGACTATAAAGATGAATATATTTATTTTTTGGACCAGTAGCACTGATGATGTAGTCCTCTATATTTAAAATGTTAAATTAAAGTAATTAAATTGGGGGAAAAAACTTAAATAAATTAGATGGCTTATATAGTCACGCAGTGCTTTATTGTCAAGATAAATATAACATCATCTCTAAAACTGTTGGCAAGTTTGCATTTGGATAAGAAAACATTGAAAAAAATTAACAGGGAAAAAAAAAAAAGTACCATCATGAGAAATATTTGTTGTACCTTGTTATTCATGGTCCCATTAGAATATACATTTCTCTAATTTTTGCTGTGCATTAAGCGGTAAAATCAAGATGCCAATACATTTGACATATAGATATTGACGTACTAGAAGTGACGGCGTTGTTTATTTTTTTGGAAGGAGAGTTTACCCCAAAAGGCTATTTAGTAATGCATAATTGCCAACGTTTAAAAAGATTTTCCAGGGCAATATTGTTGCAAGTTCTCACACAGATGTATACAGATACACATAGGCAACCATATTAACAATAATGCTATCAGATGTTTACTAAATTCCCTTTTTAGAAGTTCAAGCAAGTGAGATCAGGTGCAGCTATTTTCTGCCATTCCCTGCAGCACTCCCTGATTAGGCCTATTCTATACTTAATTACATATAGTTTAGAGGAAGAGGGGAAGCAAGTTAGTGGTTTTCTCTGATTCGTTGTGGGGTATTGTACCCCGCTTTTCATTAAAAAGAAAAAGGTTTGCAGCATGCCTGCGCTTCTCACATTATGTGCTGAGGTATTTTCACATCTTATATTTCCCTTTGAGTGCCACAGAAGACAGCAATATGATGGGGTGCTGGAAGGGTTAATTTTACAGAGAACATTTCCATTTGTGAGATCCCAGCATGGTTTTTGTCCAACATGTTTGGAAAACAGCTGCAATTTCTTTGCTTGCATACTAATTAGCTGCAAAGACCCTGTTGGCATAATGGTGCAGCGATATGTATTAAAAGGGATTTACCTGGGCCTCTGAATTGTCCACTTCCTCAACATTAAGCTCGGGGCTAAACCTGGATCTATGACAGTTATCGGCCTCATTTTCCACGTATTAGCGCCTCCCGAATAGGTGTGGGTTGAAGTGGCCTGCAATTTCTAGACAGGTGTTTATTTGTGTTCTATATCTAAATAGGAGCCTTGGTGGAAGTTTTTCTTGCATTTTCAATCTATATAATCCAATCACTTTCCTTAATGTAAAAATATGCAGTTTATTTTATATTGTTATTATGACGGATATTTTTTCTTGATTTTGATTGACGATTTGTTTATCTCTCTAAATGTAACTATGCACAACAAAAATAAAAATTGTTATGTAATTGTAATTAATGTTCATCCAATCAAAAACAAAAATAAAGAAGACTTTTTTTTTATTCAAAAAAGTCAGTTGTGCACAAAAACAAAAAAACATTTTCAACACTTTCTTTAATGGTCTGGTAATAGCAGTAGTAAACAATGTAAAAATATGAAAAAAGATTGAAAAGACCTCTGGCTTGATTCTTTGTTATCTAACACAAGCCCATGTGACTGCTGAATAGAGTACTTCAACAAGAATATCCAACATTACTACAACATTCATAATCCTGTCTCAACACCCCAGTTCAACTGAACTTTTGCAGCAGGAATATGATGGATGGCTACCCCTGATACCCAAATAGGCACAGTTTCATCAGTTAGTAAACCAGGTTGTACCCAGTGGAGTTATATTAGGGTATGAGTAGCATCAAATTTTGAATAAAAACTCAGCGCAGGTTGTTTATTGACTAGAAATTTTTGACTGTGATGGTCTCTGTTGTTACCTGTACAGGTTTTTACTAAACTGATGTCATGTATTCATTGACACAAACCTAGTTCCTCCAAGGTGCTCCATAGTTTTGTCAGTTTTACTACCGAATTTTGGCAGTTTCCAAAGCAAAGCCTCCACGTTAAGGGGAGTATGGATGGGTCCCCTGATGTCATTCCTGTAGGAAGTGGAGAATAAGCTGACACCCATGGAGGTGGGTGACTGGCTCCAGTGATGAATTGTGGGGTCCTACAGATATAATCATAATCATCTGCTAACTGATCAGCATCTTCTACCATGGTGGGTCTCCTATCCCTTATCCAGTCCATGATTTCTGGTTGAGCATACATGAAAAAATGTTCTAGAAGGATTAATTGCAAGGATTTCTCCTAATTGCAAGGCTTCCTCTGCTGTGCTGAGTTGTCATCCTTGGAACCAACTGATACCAGTCTTAGTTTTCTCTGGTGGGCCTCAGAAGTGGCTAGCGAGCCAATAAGCATTCATTCACAGCTGTAAAATTATGTCAGAAACATCTCTGTATACTTTTGCAGCTTTTCCAGTTAGTTTACTAGCAAAAATTGTAACCTAATCTGAGGGGTCCACATTTTTTTATTGACACTGTCATTCAAAGTCCTGAAGATAGCCGTCAATATCTTCCCCTTAAATCAGAGAAGGTTTTAGAAGCCTACAAGGGATGCTTCTTCTTTCCTTGTACCTCTTGTTCTCGGAGGTTACTAGCTCAACCTGAGCAGCATTGTAGCTTAAAGAGAGAGGCAACTCCTGAGTTCCCTGGTGAACTCACTCTCGGTTGTCAAATCATTGCAAGTGTCTTGGATGTTATAAGATAACACTATCTATCTATCTATCTATCTATCTATCTATCTATCTGTAATATATCATTTCTTACCTCATAAATCCATCAGCACATCAATCTTTTCTTGGATCACTCCTTGATACTCACAAGGAAATATTACTCTAATAGCACTAGAGTGGGAATGCACATTACCACCCAGATACGTACACTTTGGCTATAGTTTAAAGGACCACTATAGTGCCAGGAAAACATACTAGTTTTCATGGCACTATAGTGCCCCGAGGGTGCCCCCACCCTCAGGGTCCCTCTCCTGCCGGGCTATAGGGTGAGGAAGGGGTTAAATTTACCTCTTTCTCCAGCGCCGGGCGGGGGACTCTCCTCCTCCTCGTCAGCTGAATGAGCATGCGCGGCACAAGCCGCACACACATTCAGCCAGTCCATAGGAAAGCTTTAACAATGCTTTCCTATGGACGCTGGCGTCTTCTCACTGTGCAAATCACAGTGAGAAGTGTGGAAGCGCCTCAAGCGGCTGTCAATGAGACAGCCATTAGAGGCTGGATTAACCCTATTATAAACATAGTAGTTTCTATGAAACTGCTATGTTTATAGAAATAAAGGGTTAAACCTAGCTGGACCTGGAACCCAGACCACTTCATTAATCTAAAGTGATCTGGGTGCAGGGGTCAAGTCCTGAGGAAAAAAGTGTGGGAACTCACCCAAGATTCCCGCCCACCCCCTCCCTTCCCCCCCTTTAAAAAAAAAAAAAAAATTGCACTCCTATGCATATAGTGCAGTGCAGGGTGTGTATAATGAATGTAGTGTGTTTGTAGTGAATGCAGAGTGTGTATAATGAATGCAGTGTGTTTGTAGTGAATGCAGTGTGTATAGTGAATGTAGTGTTTTTGTAATGAGTGCAGTGTGTATAATAAATGTAGTGTGTTTGTAGTGAATGCAGTGTGTATAGTGAATGTAGTGTTTTTGTAGTGAGTGCAGAGTGTGTATAATGAATGCAGAGTGTGTATAGTGAATGTAGTGTGTTTGTAGTGAGTGCAGAGGGTGTATAATGAATGTAGTGTGTTTGTAGTGAGTGCAGTGTGTAATATAAATGTAGTGTGTTTGTAGTGAATGCAGTGTGTATAGTGAATGTAGTGTTTTTGTAGTGAGTGCAGAGTGTGTATAATGAATGCAGAGTGTGTATAGAGAATGTAGTGTGTTTGTAGTGAGTGCAGAGTGTGTATAATGAATGTAGTGTGTTTGTAGTAAGTGCAAATTGTGTATAATGAATTTAGTGTGTTTGTAGTGAGTGCAGAGTGTGTATAATGAATGTAGTGTGTTTGTAGTAAGTGCAAATTGTGTATAATGAATTTAGTGTGTTTGTAGTGAGTGCAGAGTGTGTACAATGAATGCAGTGTATGTAGTGTGTTTGTAGTGAATGCATAGTGAATGTAGTGTGTAGTGAGTGCAGAATGTGCATAATAAATGCAGAGTGTGTATAGTGAATGCAGAGGGTGTATAGTGAATGTAGTGTGTTTGTAGTGAGTGAAGTGTGTATAATGAATGCAGTGTGTGCGTGTGCAGGATGATGTGTGTGTGCACGCTGGTTGACGTGTGTGTGAGCGCTGGATGGTGTGTGCGAGTGCTGGATGATGGGTGTGTGTGCTGGATGATGTGTGTGAGAGTGCTGGATGATGTGTGTGAGAGTGCTGGATGATGTGTGTGAGAGTGCTGGATGATGGGTGTGTGAGTGCTGGATGATGGGTGTGAGAGTGCTGGATGATGGGTGTGAGAGTGCTGGATGATGGGTGTGAGAGTGAGTGCTGGATGATGGGTGTGAGAGTGAGTGCTGGATGATGGGTGTGTGAGTGAGTGCTGGATGATGGGTGAGTGAGTGCTGGATGGTGTGTGTGTGTGTGTGTGTGTGTGTGCGCTGGATGATGGGTGTGTGAGTGAGTGCTGGATGATGGGTGTGTGAGTGCTGGATGATGGGTGGGGGGGAGGGGAAGCATTTTTTTCTTACTTTATGTGTTTTTTTATTTTATCCCCCCCTCCCTGCTTTTTACCTTGTCAGGGAGGGGGGAGATCGCCTGGTGGTCCGGTGGTATGCTGGAGGGAGTCAGCCGCTGCACAGAGGGACCATCACACGCTGTGTTCCCTCTCCAGCTCTAACTCTCGCGAGACTCGCCTGTGCGGAGCGTTGCCATGGTAACAGCCGCGGGTCTCGCGAGAGTTAGAGCTGGAGGGGGAACACAGCGTGTGATGGCCCCTCTGTGCAGGTAGCAGGGCCGGTCCTGCAGGACAGGTAACGGGAACGGCGTTCCTGCTATGGAAAAAGTGCAGGAACGCCGTTCCCATGCGTTCCTGCAGGACTCGAGCCCTGTCTGGGTGCCTATAGTGGCAGGGCCGGACTGGCCCACCGGGATACCGGGAAATTGCCCGGTGGGCCGCGGCACCTGGGAGCTGTGCTGCACACTCAGAGGGGGCCAGCCGCGTTCCAGGCTGGAGCCGCCGGGCCGGATGGCAGCTTCGCCAATCCAGCGGCACTCCTGTCACTGCTGTGGCTGATGGTTGAAGTAATACAATACACAAGATCCAGCGCACTCACCTATCCACTAAACAGCAACTTCAATGTTGAAAGATTTTATTAGTTTTTTTAACAACACATAATTTAGGCAAAAATAATGGGGGTGTATTGTATTATTTGGCCCCCAGCAGCACCCCTATTTATGCATGTTCAGGTGAGTGCAGCCAACCCCCCCTTGTTTCATATATATATATATATATACATACATATTTGGGAGTCTTGCCAACTCCCTGGTTTTGCACCCCTCCCTGTCACATGTGCCTCATCCCAGGACCCTATTTAGCCTTGTACTGCAGAGAGCCCCAGATGGAATTTTTTTCCCCAAGTAAGTGAGTTAATCTCATAAGAGCAGACATTAGGCTGTTAGTGCAGGACCTGCCAAAGATGGGGTACATTGACGTTGTGGCAGGCTTATGCAATGTATGATCATATAATGTAACTAAACCCCCATTATTTTTGCCTAGATTAGGTGTTTTTAAAAAACCAAATAAAATCTTTCAACATTGAAGTTGCTGTTTAGTGGATAGGTGAGTGCGCTGGATCTTGTGTATTGTATTATTTGGCCGCCAGCAGCACCCCAATTTATGCATGTTCAGGTGAGTGCAGCCAACCCCCCCTTGTTTCATATATATACACATATATATACATACATATATATACATGCGGCGTGTGCTTGTGCTTTAGGGTGCACACCCTAATGCAATAGGCTGCGCACGCCTATGACTATTGAGTTTAGGGCTAGAGTTGAGTTAAATTGAGTTACTTTTTATTTTTATTTTGTATTTTTGCAGTGCAGAAGTGTACAAGCAGGCTTGAGATGGCCCGACAGCATTCCACAAGCTAATCAGCATATATAACAGTAGGACACATTAGGGAACATGCACAATTTTGTAAATGATAGCTCTGCTGAGACATTTGCAGAATATCACTCGTTATAACCTCAGACTATAGAACAGGTCATATAGCACAATACCACAGCAATGTGTAATAGCTTAATATCAAATAACGAAAATAAGGAACTGATAATATAAAAAACATAAGTAAACATATCGCTAAGTTAATGACTAAGGCATTAATCAGTAACTCTGCTGCTTTTTAACATGTGTCTGAAGGTTTATGTAGCAGTCCCCCTTCAGAATCCGCCAACTCCCTTCCATGTCAGCATGGTTATATCATCCTTTGCAGGATCGTGGACATATCCAGCCCCAGGCTAGTTTGATCCATTTACCACAGACTTTGCTAGTGCAGCAGTCCAAGTCTATTCCCTGCAGAGGATGGTTGGAGGATTGAGATGATGTTCGCCGCGTGTCGTGGACAATCTTCCTTCCTTGTGGGCGATGCGAGGCAGTTAAGCCCCTTTTGGCTCTCAGCCTGGGAAGACCTGTGGTAGGTCATGCGGGTTTCACAACTTGGATATAGTATTGAGTGGGCCCCTTCACCACCTGTCGCTAGGTTCTTGTCAGGGTCTTACCTGAGTTGGGAGTCTGTAGCGCAGATATGATGCTCACCCTTGCAGATAGCCACAGGCCGAGGTGGTCAGGTAAGAATTCACCTGGCCTGTGGGTCTGTGCACGGGGGCTGTGCAGGATGCAGTACCAATACGCAGGACAGGCAAGGACTGAACCAGCAGGATAGTTGAGGGATAGCCGAGGTCAAAGGATGCCAGAGGACAGGAACAACGAGGAGTAGCCGAAGTCAAGGGGTGCCAGAAATCAGAATAAACGAGTCAGGAAGCCGGGGTCAATAATGCGAAGCGATGAAACAGGAACACTAGAACAAACAGGATCAAAGACTTGACACTGAGCACAGGGCGAGGCTGGGTTTATATACCCTGCTGATGACTGATCAGAGTCAGGTGAAACACAGCCAAGTCAAGGTGCAGCCCCCAGAGTAGTAGCCATGTCAGGATGAACAGGACTGGAATCAGTCTTCACTGTAAATAGCTGCTGTGGCTCAGAGGTAGAAAGCAGGACCAGGACTGAGAAGATCCCGGTTCAAGTCCCCTGTTGGGAACTCCAAGAGCGACCACGTCTTGCCGTCTGTCTATCAGGTGAGAACCGTGACAGTTCTCCAGTATCCCTTGCACTTTATTACCTCGGACGTGGTGCTTCACCCTGAGCCAGAATGCTGAGAGATGGCATCCAGCCTCCTCAAAGAATCCGCCATGTGATCGCGTGTGGCTTTCTGCTTTGGACTCTCTGCATGTAGCTGCGAGGGAGAGGGGTCCGACATTTTGCAGCTTTGGGGGGTTCCTGCATAGCAACCATATCAGAATGGTAACTGCGGGTTTAGTCACTCAGGTAAGCTCTGAGGAACTGGGATGACCCCCACCGATCTGGGGTAGGGGGATAAAAGTGCTGCGGAGACAAGCCCTGGGTTGAAACACGGGGGGCAGGCGTTTCCCCCTCAGCCCTGTCCCTGGTAGGCCGCAGCAGAGCTCCTAGGCTCACCATGTAGTTGAATGCTCAAGTAAGTTAGCGATTAGCTAGCCCTGTGTCTCCTGACCATCGGTATTCGGGATGATTTGTGTGGAAGCCCCAAAATCGAGTGTAATACCCCAAATTCAGGCATTAAGTCAGGAGCTCAGGCTTTCCACGTCTGTTCACCTTGGAGGTCAGGCTGCACCCCCCAAATTTAGTTACTTTTTAAGATGACTTAAACATAGGATTACGGTAAAGGGTTCATTTTCAGGTTTAGGCTTTGAGTGCTGGAGTTTGAAGGGTTATTTGCAAAGTACATAGCCTTCTATGCTTTCTGCAGACCAGTCAGATTGATATTAGAGCTGCTGCGTATACTGTGTGCGTCACAGAGAGTTTTCCCTGCTACCCCTACAAAACAAATAGGAAGTGAACCCTTCCTATTCCTGTCCAGTTTCACACACAGACACTGGAGAAGCTGGAACAGACACCTTATTTAGTGCTGTAAACAGGAGCCTCCTAGTGGACAGGTGCCTGTAGGCAGGTACCTGCTCTGCCAATGGGAAATCTGGTCTTGCACTCTCAATAAATTATTTATTTATATGTACTTACCTTAACATTAGCTTAACCTGCACCTGGCTAGACAAATGTGGATTAATAATGCACACTGAATCTTCTGTTTATATTATTATTATCTAAATGACAGCAGAGGGATCAGGTTTTCTGTGATGATAAGAACCCCAGTTTTTATCAAATCATATTTGAGGTGAAGTTCATTCCCAGACTGAAGCAATACGGCAAGTCTGCTTTTGGTATTAACTTGCCTTGACATGCTATTGATGTCCATGAAATTGTTTAGTGAGTTCCTTTGTAGTGTATTAGATTGCAATGGATATAACCTAGTGCAACAGTCATAGGATTGGTGAAATAATTTGCAAGTTTTTACTTGTTGATTTTACATCTATTTCGTGTGCAAGACCACCCAACAGGGTAACACTCATTGCCCCAGAAATCAATCATGATTATTCAACAGAGGAAAGAAATAATGTTTTGAATGTTTTGAATGTTTTGTGGAGTCCTTTGGGATTTTGCAAAAGATAAAAACAAAAAAACCTGTTCCTCTATTGAAGGCTTTTGATCAGTGAGTGTATCATTTTAAGCCAGGAAAAATCCACTAGATTTTTCTAATTGGGAAGAACATGATTTTTAACATGTATGCAATTCATAACTGCTAATTGTCTTGACCTGTTTTTTTTCTGCTGTGGACATCCTGCACTGGAAACATATACAATGCGTACTAAAATATCACTTTTATAAATAACTGTTTTACAATCACAGCTGGAATTCAGTCACTTAATTAGTTCTCAGAAATAGTCTGAAGTTTTTGAATTTTGCCAGTGTTATTTTGTTTACTGTATCCTCGAGGGTTTGAATTTTTTTGCATTTACATGACTAGATTCTGAGTTGTCTTTACGGAAGATATAAAATGACATCATGCGAAGGCTCTTAGACAAAGTAGACCACTTGGCATTTTCCTTGTATAATTATGTGTTTCTGAGATCCTTTAACATTATGATTGATAAGTCACGAGTCTAGTAACAAGCCAATGCCTATTTTCATTGTTGTTATATCAAGTTTGAATTTACAACTCTCACACAGTTTTGGTAAACGTCTCCTCTGACCGCACTTGTTTTAAACATGGGTAACTTGAAAATACTAAGAGTCTTTTGTCAGCTAAAAAATACCAACCAGCTGTTATCTCAAAGAAGATGTCAACCTCTTTTATCAAAAATATTTATACCTGGTGTTTCACTCATAATGAACGCTCTGTTTTAATTATCAATAATCTGTTCAAATGTAACCAGTGTATTAAAATACCACTGACCACACAGACAGTACATTGTAGAACAAAAACACAAGTGACAGTTGTGAGAAAATAATGACAAACATCCTGAAATAGCGTTGTTTTCACAGCGGAGCCACCCTGGGCT